AGTTCTCCATGGCATATTGGACAGGTATCTTCCTGCTTTGTGAGCCTTGGACAGTTTCAGGAAGAACAGCAAGGAAACAAACTCAGATTTTCTACTTCCAGGCCTAGCATACCTACTTAGAGCAATCCAATATTTGAATTGTGGAGGTTCTGTGCAGATGGAAACTTTGAGGAATTTAAGGTCTTTCTCTAGCAAGGCTTCTTTAAGGGAAAATGTTCTAGTTTTTTTTTCATAGACTTGGTGGAGATTGCTCCCACTGCCCTTTTTTTTAAGCACAAGTGAAACAACCTTTTCCCCCCTTCAACTGCCTTCTCCAGAAACAGCTTAAAAATTTACATGAAAAGGCAGACATATGGCACAGAAACTTCAGGATAACAACAATGATAATTGTTTAAATAAGTATTTCAGCTGTAAGAATGATTAGTTTTTAAATTAATATTACATTAGTCAGGAAACCTTAGTAAAATGATTTTTAATTTAAAAATTAAAAAAGGAATTTCAGTAATTTAAAAGCAATATGTAAAAATCCTTCTCAAACATTCTACATATTTATGTTTGAAAATACATCTATACACAACATAAGGCTTGCTGAGACAAAAAAAAACCACTGCAACTTATATATATGCATTATGTGTATATATACTACATACGCAAATGACAAACCTACAATAAATAACATTCCCCAAGTTTTTATTTACTACACAACTTTAAAAATCCAACCCACTAATTACTATTCCTATGGTTTATTCTAATTTTCTAAATCCTTGAGCAGTTCCAAACAGCTGCCACGTTTATCTTAAAATCAGCTTGCCTATGACATATTAGTTATACATACACTCAGCATAGCACATAGCAACATCTATAACATAACTTACCAGAGTATTTTTTTTCCTCAAGCAATTTTTGACTTTTTTCTGCTGTTATCGAAAATAATACTTTCTAGTATGCAACTCAACTTTTTGATTAGAAACAATTAATTCATTTTCAAGTAAAAAGAGTAAAAATATTTTTGCTAAGTATTTGCATTTCTATTTTCATTTTCAGTTGCTGTAATATTTTATAGAATGCAAATTTTAATTAGCTTTAAGTTTTAAGCTTTCGACTAGAACACCACCTTGAATTTACAGAGTAGGAGAGGGAAAAAAAAAAGTTAATTCCATCTTGATTAAGACAGTGTTTGAGAACTGTCTCCAGCAGATCGAGGGAGGGGATCCTGCCCCTCTGCTCAGCCCTGGTGAGGCCGCATCTTGAGTGTTGTGTCCAGTTCTGGGCTCCACAGTACAAGAGGGATGTGGAGCTGCTGGAGAGAGTCCAGCGCAGGGCCACAAGGATGATCAGGGGCCTGGAACATTTGCCCTATGAGGAGAGACTGAGAGAGCTGGGCCTGTTCAGCCTGGAGAAGAGAAGGCTGAGATGGGACCTGATCAGTGTCTATAAGTACCTCAAGGGAGGCAGTGAGGAGGATGGTGCTGGCCTCTTTTCAGTGGTGGCCCCCAACAGAACTAGAGGTAATGGCCACAAACTGAAGTACCAAAAGTTCCACATGAACTTAAGGATTTTTTTTTTTAACAGGGAGGGTGACAGAGCTCTGGAACAGGCTACCCAGAGAGGCTGTGAAATCTCCTTCTGTGGAGATCTTCAAAACCCGCTTGGATGCAGTCCTGTGCCACATGCTCTAGGTGACCCTGCGTGTGCAGGGGGGTTGGACTAGATGACCTCTAGAGGTCCCTTCCAACTTTAAGCATTCTATGATTCTATGAAGTTATGCTCTTCATTACTTGCAAACAGTATGACATCCGTACAGAATTAAAATAAATACATATACATACATACTTTTAATGATTTACATGACATGCTTTTCACACTAAACTTCTCCCAGGTTATGCTTATACAAAGTAATGGGAATTTTACGTACCAAGGACTGATGATTTTTGAGAGTTGCATACCATGAGATGCTCATAAATACAGTGCCATATAGTTTTTGCTTAAGGACAGTGAAATGGACACACATTTTCAGGTTTTTACTCTGCAATTTATGTACCTATCTCTTGATACCAATGCTTATGTCTAAAACAAACAATTGTTAGTTCATAAACTCACTCTTTGAGACATTTTCTGCAATGTTGACAATCACCTATGTCAAATACCTACCATTCATATAGCCAAAGTAGGCTGGAATTCTTAGAAACACATAGCTGCTCACCTAACCCTGTAATAGTAAGCAACTGAAATGTTAAAATAATATTTAGCAAAGAGATCACTCTTACTCCTGTCACCATGGTATACGAGCACCACAGTTTGTAGATGTGTTCATTATGTCAAACTAGGAATGAAGAAACATTGGAAGTGATTTACCACAGGGTTTTCTCTGTGCTGGTAGTGAAATCCATCAGTTTTATGATGGCTTCTTTAATTTTAGGTAACAAGGAAGGACAATTCTTTCACCTGTCTTCAAACAGGAGAAAAATTAGATTAGCTTTAGAAAATTAACTGAGTTTTTTGATTTATAATGTAGAGAAGCTGCATCATCATTCCTTTAAGTTTCATCTAAATGAATATTCAAGAAGGAATGTCTCCTCCTCTTAACAGCTTCCTTCCCCATTTATAGAAATTGCATGTTATCATGCAATACTGTTTTAACTGGCATAAAATTCAAGAATATTAATAGAGTTTAGAAAATAAAGTTATTAGTAGCCTTGATTACAGAACCACTTTCTGTTAATAAACATCAAAATCGTTTTCACTCATAGTTAGAGGAAAGATTAAATAAAAGAGGAGTAAATAAAGAAGTTCCAAATTGCTACCCAAGTGAGTTCTATGACATAATCCCAATTTTCTTGTAAACAAAAAGCCATTTGTAAATTTGTAAATAAAATTTATTTATTAAAAAATAAATCTTTCTTATATCAAATGTATTTCAAAGTTACTTTCCTAGTTTTAAAATAAAGATGGACATATCTTACAGAACTTTCTTATTGATGCAAAGATAAAATGAATACCATATTTTTACATTTTATTCTCTTTTTTTTTAGTTTTTGCATTTTATTCTATTAACTGAAAAATGACAATCAATATGAGTCAGTGTGATTCTAGAACTCATGGCAAATAAATTTCTGAAGTCCAGTGTTTTGGATTAGTGTAGACACTGCATTTTATATATAAGAAGAAATCTTCATTTTAAACTATTTTATTCTTTGGGGAATTTCAAATTCCAGATGCTACCCACCACTGTTCCTCAAACCATCTAAAACTGAGTAACCTTAGTACTACCCAGTGCAACTGTTCGCAGCATGCATTTAGCTTAATTCCAGACATTTCCCAATCTATACTTACCTTTTCCACTTGCTGTATCTATATTCAATTTAGGAACGGATGCGTCTAGTCTTTTTTTTTTTTTTCCAGTTGCACAAATAGATAAGTTCTCTCTCCTCATCTAGTGCACATTCAGAGGTGGGGAAGAGGGCAATCTCACCTATTTCTTTCACAGACTACAGTGTTAACAATACTCATTTTTTATATGCTCACAACAGCACCGAGCTGAGACCAGCACTAACCAGTTCACAGTACTATAGCATCATAAGGTAATGGCAACTCTACAAGCTATTCAGTGCAAGTTTGAAGTGCAGTGAGGTTGGAAACCTTCTTTATCTTTGTGCTGTATGCACATATCTTTATACTCCATAGAGCAGTCATTATGGAAGATGAACACATATGAAAATCAAAGACGCTTCTACCTCTGCACAAGACACCCTTGCAGTCAGAGGCATAAGTAGATCACAGTTGGAATTCCACAAACAAATACCAGGCAGTCTATCATGAATGGGAGTGCTTCTCATTTTGTGGGCCCAAAAAAATCCTTTGCATATAAAAATCATAAAACAGTTCTTATTGTTTTTTCACCTCTCACTTGGCCTATCATCTCAACCTTTTTTGAAGTGCCAAAATCTCATGAATTCCAAACTGCTACATCAGGAGACATGGAAAGAGGTTGGGCCTCCCTGACAGTTCTTGGCTCATTTATGTGACCAGTAAAAGTCCCCATCGCATGATCCTTGTCACATCATGGTAAGCTGAAGGTCTTCCTGTGTATTACAGCCATATTTTAAATGTCTACATCTGGCAATCCAAGGAGAAGCAACAATTGCACAAGCTGACAAAACAAATGCTTGAATGATGGGCGTAGCTCAGTCTTGAAGTATAATCTCTGCAGTAAATGATATCTTTATTTGTAGTGAATAATAATAGAGTAGCAAAGAAAGTTCAAGTCTTACCAATAATTGATATTGGCTTTCTGGCAAAACGTATTCTTCCCTGGAAGCCAACATATTTACTTCTGCAGCCTGCAGACCACAGTCGGACCAAATATTCAGCACCGAAAAACACGACCAGAACTATTTCCTGTCAGAATTAAAAGGAAAATTATTAGTTTTTTGTTTCAAGGAGTACAGATTTGAATGCCTAATTTTATTCTTGCAACAAATATAAATGAGCTTGTAGAGAAAAAAAGCACTTTCAATAAAAAGTACTGTGTCTAATCTGTTCTCATTGTATGCTGGCCCTTATTTTAAAGGAAGTTACAACTGGATCCTGAACTTGGCTTTGCGCAAATAAAAAGAAGATTTAGATTTCCTTTTATCAGAATGTTCTAGGGTAATACTCCTCTTCCTTTGCTATGCACTGACTGTTAAAGATAAAGGTGGCTAGAAGCATATGCATTCCTAAAACTATCAAGTAGATGAATCATTTTAATATTATGAAGCAATTTATAAGAATAAAAAGAGTATAATGCTAACTTTCCTATGTGTAAGAGCGTTCATGAAATTAAATTAGAAATCTCTATTTTGATATTGCTTCCCTCTGTAGTACTACTGCATTCTACATCAATAGTACATAACATAGAATCACAGAATGCTTGAGGTTGGAAGGGACCTCTGAAAATCATCTAGTCAGTCCCCCCAGCACAAGCAGAGTCACCTAGAGCACATTTAAATGTTTTAAATGTCTCCATAGAAGGACATTCAACAACAACTCTGAACCACTTCTGCTGGTGCTCTATTACCTTCACAATTAAGATGTTTCTCCTCATATGCCAATGGAATTTCCTTTGTTTCCATTTGTAGCCATTGCCTCTTGTCCTGTTGTTAGCTGCCACTGAAAATAGTCTGCACTCATCCTCTTGAAACCCTCCCTACAGGTATTTTTATACATTGATAAGACCCCTTCTCAGTCTTTTTTTCCACATGTTAAACAAGGCCAGCTCTCAGCCTCTCCTCATGGGAGAGATGCTCTAGTCCCCTAATCATCTTTATAGCCCTACACTGGACTCACTTCGGTAGCTCTATGTCTCTCTAGTACTGGGGAGCCTAGCCCAGTACTAAAATGTGGTCTCACGTGGTCACATCTTACTACTTGGCCAGTAGGCACGTGGAGGGCAAGAAGGTGCTCAAGAGCAGTCAGCATGGATTCACCAGGGGGAAATCTTGCTTGACTAATCTGATAGCCTTCTATGATGGAATGACTGGCTTGATAGATGAGGGGAGGGCGGTGGATGTCGTCTATCTTGACTTCACCAAGGCTTTTGACACTGTCCCTCACAACACCCTCCTGGGAAGCTTCGGAAGTATGGGATAGATGAGTGGACGCTGAGGTGGATTAGGAACTGGCCGGATGGCAGAGCTCAGAGGGTGGTGATCAGCAGTGCAGAGTCTAGTTGGAGGCCTGTAGCTAGTAGTGTCCCCCAGGGGTCAGTCCTTGGTCCAGTCCTGTTCAATTTAATCATCAG